AAGAAGAAATTAATTTATGATTTTTCTTGTAAATTCTATAACTTTGCAAAGAAAGGTCATGTAGAGCTGGAAGACGTCTCATTTTAATCAGAAATGTACGGGCTATAATTATGCCTCATTATGAAAGCTTTTGATTATTTTTTAGAATTTCTCAAAAAACTGTTTTTGCAGAAAACCGAGACTTCAAGAGCCATGGGCAAAAATCATTAGTTTTTTGCGCTTCACTTGGCCTTTCGAATGGCGTAAGAATGAAGGCGCTAGTTATTATGTGGAATCTACAAAATTTGATTTAATGCAAGATGCCCAAAGTCGAGGTGTTTTGTTTTGAAAATTTTTCTAATCGAGATAAAGCTTGAAAACAGTTGTCTATGGTCAGTTTTGCACGAGGAATTTGAATATAATTTTAGAAAAATTTTCGAATTTAATTTGACGGAGATAGAGCTTAGTTTTTGAGCCGGCATGTATTTTTCATTTTTGAGAAGTTCTCATTGTCGTCCAATTTTCTCCATGAAGGGACTTTCAAAACTGAAAAAAAGGTCAGATTCGTGATCAGCAGACCAAGACGCCTCAGAATATATATCATTTAAAGGAAAACAAAACATGTGCAAATTTTGAATTACGCGCACCTTAGATTCTGACATTTATTTTCTGAAAAATTGCTATCTAGCCTTTTTCTGTTCGTTTTCAAACATCGTCTATTTAAAGTAATTAAAGTTTATCTTTAACAAACATACTGCCCATGAAAAAATTTAAAACAAAAAGACGCGTTGAAACGCGTTTTGTTTTAATCGAACATGTTTGCAAACATGTTTGCAAGCAAACACATAACTGTCTGAGCTAACAGACGATCGAGACATATACAGTAACAATGCCATGTGTTTCCATCATGTCAGTCAGACAAAACATAGTGTTTGCTTCTTTATTCTATGAATTCTAAGTTTCATTTACAAAGTAAATAAATCTTTTCGCTCAAAATAAAGTATTCCTACAGACAATTATCTCCTTTCTCATACCGAACTATGTGCTTGAGAGAAATTAAATAGTCTGTCTATCAGGTCGATATTCGCGTTCTTCGTTCTGTGTAAAGATGAATTCTGATACTGAGTTGCATTCTATTAAGAAAAAAAGTCGCCAGATGTAAGTCACTTTTTGAGATAGGATGGTTCCCCTCATTAAATTGCTATAGCTCACCGACTTTTTATTATGACAAAGCAAACATGAATTAAGATGGACAGTGAATTTTGTGTAGACAATACTACTAGGAGGCGAATACTATACTGTGGCCGAATGCCACCTCACTCTCACTTCAAAGAAATACACGTATTTCCTGATAAAAAACGCGTTTTGAGCGAATTATAAAAACACGTTTCAGCGGGTTTTTACATTAACGCGTTGAAACAGCGTTTTTTAAAATAAAGTTTGCGTTTCGACGCATCTTTTCGCTGAAAATCTTTTCGTGGGTGTAACTAAGCTTATCAACGTTAAGACGTCACATTAAACGTTTAGATCTACTGTAAGGATTCTTAGTAGGCATACTTGTGCTCAAAATGAATAATAAAAAACAAGGAGTTTAACATAATATTGGTATTTTTAACTTCGTTAAAAAAACCATTACCGAAGCAAAATCGATAGAGTAATATTTTACCGGTTATTCGATAAAAATATTTTTTAACGCTAATTCGATGTTTTCAAACACGAATTATCTTAATTAAACGCGGTAATTCGATGTTTTTAGTAAAAATTCCTTTTACTGTTACCGACAGGAAATTGACGGCTACCGATCATCCTTAGCTCTTACATGTTGTGCATGTTCTTTTAATTCTTCGATTACTGTGTTCACTGTTGATATGTCTGTTTTAATTTTATCACTCATTAATGTTAATTCTGTTTTAACTGATTCTTGGAGTAATGTTAAACGTTTGTCAATTTGTTGAACATCGTTTGTTAGTTGTGTTCTATCATCTTCTATATCAATCTGTTGCTTTTGAACTTTGAACAAGAAGCAATTATATTTAATGGAATAAACGGAGTAAGCCGGTATACCGATTGCAGGGCGCCGACACTAGGGCTTCTAAGATGAGGTTGAGGGTGAGTATCGATGAAGATTAAACAAACAGTGATTACAGTTGGATACGAGTTGTGAAATAATATAGAAAAAACTCCCACACCATACCAAGGTTGTTTAGAACAAAATTTTATCGTTATGCATCATACTTTTAAAAATACCCTCGCACCGAATGCTTGTGTCGTACATGTGCCCTAGTCTCGGCGCCCTAGCGTCTGGTAATTGCGTACGTCGCTACAGTACCTCGTGTTAACGATCACTTTACTAGATGGTAATTGTGAACTGTATAGTTTTCGTACATAGTCATTGGTTGAGTAGATTTCGAAATCACATCAGTCTTTTTCAACATCGTCATCATTTTCAATCATTTCTAGAATACATTTAAACAGGAACAAATTAAATGCTCAGTATTATGTACAGAATGATCAGTAAATTATCAAACTATCAGTATATAATTTCGTGTTCGGTGGCTACCATGTCTGCTCAGTAAATTAATAATTTGTGTGTGTGATGAGGTGGAGAGTGTGGAGTCTGGCTGTAGCTGTGGGTTCGAGTGTGGGGTGAGGGTGAACCGTGGAAAAACCACTTTGGAATAGTTAAAGGTAACGGAACCGTTGAATCCTCAGATCTATACAAACATTCTCAAATCTATGTCGAGAAATTTACATTTTTTCATTCTTGAGATTAAAGATTTTAGTATATATGTAAAATATTGCTTTCTTTAATATTGAAATATGTGGCGTCTTTAATCTCAACAATTCAATAGTGAAAATTTCTCGAAATATATTTTAAATTTTCATACCTGTTCCATGATTAACGGTTTCGGTTTCACATAACATTTTGGGAACCGAATCGGAACCGTTTTCTCTCATTTGTCATCACAGGAATGGGAGCTGGAAACGTGGTTCCGGGTAATTTTCGCGGTCGCTAAGCTATACAGGAAGGCACACACCCACATCCTTAATACTAAATCTTCTTAAATTATTACTGAGCTTTTCAAACTATTTACTAAGAAAAAATAGCTTTTCAATGAGGAAAAAATACTGAGCATTCTTTATAAAATACTGAGCAATTAAATACATGCCCATATAAACGAACATCCGTACTAAATTTTACGATAAGAGTCTTACTGAATGCTTTAGTTTTCTTAAAGGCTTGGCCGTTTTTCGATTCACAGCGATAGAAAATTAATTTAATTAATAGATATAGATGTGTAAAAATAATAAATGGAGGAAACATCGGTGGTCAGTCAAAATATTCTCTTACAATTGTATATCGTTCAAAACTCCAAACACGGTCAGTATGTACTTGTACGTCATTAAATGTGTAACTAAATTTAAAAAACCCTGTGTTTATATGAACTTACGAGAGACTAGTCTATACTAACGTAAACATAGCAATCAATAGATTAATAAGTAAAATATTAACAAATAACAAATGTAATGCTAATAACACTTGAACTGCTATATGTGCTGCATCGTCTGGTTGAGCTGAACAAAAAAGGAATCTGAACTCAGAATTCAAATAACTGTAGTACATACAATCTAGAGCAGTTGTTTCATCATTTATCTGTCCGTGAATAAAATAATAAACTGGATAAATAACATTTCTCATGATCTGTCTACCATCAAAATTAAATGTACCATACAAATACATTGAACGCGATGTAACACCATATGCAGTTATTACAACGAATATTAAAAATACATAAAATAATAAATCAGCGCTCTAAAAATAACTAACTGTCATTTTAGCATAGTCAGAGGTAAGTGTTAAAGAAGTGGCAGAGTGTTAAGAACTGACCATTTTTCTGATCATTACTAATTTAGGACCAAGATATCTAAATATGCCAATAAACAAAAGTGATCGGATATACCACAGTTCTAAATCCTAAGCTAAGACGATTCTATAAATATTAAAAGAAGTTTTCATTAACTTTTATACTTTATTATAAGCGAAGCAATTCAGAGACAAGCAGAACCTATAAATTAACTTCTTAATCACGTAATAAGTGCTGTAAACATCGATATATAAAATTTCAATTAAAATTAGATCTGCATATAGTTGTCACTGATAAAGAGCACATTGAAGAGAAAAAAATATAGCGTGCATTAATCACGTGCCAAGCACGAAAACGTAAGAGAAAAAATATAGACACACTCGCTGGACTATCGCTCAATTCGCCAGCAAAAGTATCTAGATAAAAGAGTAAAAAACACCGGGTTAGCTAGATAAATCGGGTTTGATTCAGTTACACGATACAACACCAGATGCATTTAGTAAGAAATTATGATTGATAAAAACCAATAGAATTTTAGCATGCAGGGGTGGGCAACTCCGCTGACTTTCAACTCCAACCCCGACTCCGTTTTCAAATTTCCTACTCCAACTCCAACTCTTTCAACAAAAATCTCAACTCCAGTTCAACTCCGGTTGCTTCACTTTTGTAAAGACGGTTTTTCGGTTTTTAGCATGACTCTGGATGTTTTTGAGCTTTTTCGGGCAGGAAAGCGCAAAGAATTTCCGAATTCTCTCGTGAATATAGCCACTCAATCGTTTGAAAGATCAGTTTACAACTACTGAATATTTCCAAAAATGCAAAACGGAGTTGAGAATAAATATTCAAAAACCCAACTCCAACCTGCTAAAAGCTCAACTCCAACTCCAACTCCGCCAAAGTCAACTCCGACTCCGACTCCGACTCCAACTCCACCAAAAAAATCCTCAGCTCCGGAGCTGGAGTTGTCCTGCCCTGCTAGCGTGTAAGCCTTCTTTTTCTTTTTCTGTATGTTACATATCCATATCCGAATGTAACAGTGTCGGCGAGCCACCTAATCGGCTCGTAGACTCGCGCTCGCGAGCTAGCTCGATCAGGCTCTAGTCGAGCGGCCAGCAGATTTTCTTTTTCTCTGGGCGAGCCGAGCCTATGTCCCGCGAGCTACGTTTTTGGACACTACATTTTACATGTTTTTTTCACATATGTGGTCGAAACTACCTTAGTAGTAGCAGTGTGAACACTATAATGTAACTGATAGTTTTTTTCATCCGTTCATCCATCTGTAAATTACTTCAGTTGTATCTTTCTTCCTTTCGATTCTTTGAAAAAAGGAAGAAACAATAATCCAAATGGAGTCAACGTCATTATCTTTTCTTGAAGACGACGACGTAGTGTCTTCTTCCTCAACTCCTATGCAGTGTTTTTAATGATTAGTGACGAGGGAACATTCCCAGGTGCCCCGCTTCGATTTCGCTCGTTCATACATCATTCGATAGGGGGTCTCGAGTAGATAAAAAGCCTAAAAGGATATCGGCTGACGACTCTTTAAGATCCGGTTTTCTAGAAAACCAGTTTTTCAGAAACTTTAACAGAATAACCAAAACCTTTGTTAATGAGACATGATTGTAGCCCGCGGAATTCTCATAAAAATGAGATATCTCCCAGCTCTATATGGGCTTTCTTTGCAAAGGTAATAGAATTTGCAAGAAAAGCTCTAAACGGTCATTGTCAACTCAAAACTGCAGAAATCAGAAGAAATTAATTTAAGGCTTTTCTTGTAAATTCTATAACTTTGCAAAGAAAGGTCATATAGAGCTGGGAGATATCTCATTTTTATGAGAATTTCGCGGGCTACAATCATGTTTCATTAACAAAGGTTTTGATTATTCTGTTAGAGTTTCTGAAAAACTGGTTTTCCAGAAAACCGGATCTTAAAGAGTCGTCAGCCGATATCCTTTTAGGCTTTTTATCTACTCGAGACTCCCTATCGAATGATGTATGAACGAACGAAATCGGAGCTGGGTATCTGGGAATGTTCCCTCGTGAGACAAGCGAGAGTAAAATGGGTTTCCACTTTGAATAATTCTGTCTGGAAAGTTCTGTTTTCCACGCCGAGAAAAGTATATCCCTCTTTGTTTTCGACTTTGTTTTTGAGAATTTACACTTTGTCTTTTTTTCATATTTTCTGCGTTAGAAAAGCAGCTCATCGATAACTGTTTGTTGAACAAATGTGAGCGAGAGAACTAGTATAATTTCTCTTTAATCCTCTAATTTTTATCACGATCCGACATTTTTAGTGATTACTCTTTATTTTAAAATGAGCATAACTCAGGAACGGGAGATGGAAGGTTGATTTTTCAACGAATTCGTATAGAATCAAGTGCTCTAAATCCGAATATCATCTCCAAAAGTAGGAAAAAGATCTCAGAAAATGAGTTACAAGTTGGGCAAAAACGCCCAAAACCTGAAAGTGATCTTCGTAGGTTTCTCTCAGAAGAGTCACCAAAGAGATTTGAAAAAACCAAAAATAGCGTTTCAGATAGATTAAACGGTGCTGAATCCGATGCACTACTCAGCTTTGAAATTAAAGGTTGTCTTGACCTCAGAAAACGTATTTCAAAATAACTCCTTTTTGAATATTTCGCCATTTTGAAAGTGGTGGTATACATGATGCTGACGACTTAGAGAGCTGATTCTTGAGGCAAAGTTGTTCAGAATTGCCTGTTCTATATGATCTGAATGTTTCCAAGCACTAGCATTTGATATGGTTGAGAAAATCGCAATGCAAATATTCCCTAAAACCTAGAAAGTTTAAACCCCCATGATTTTCCCGGGGGTGTTCGCAGGGTTTTAGAAAGTTGAAAAATACATTTTCTTGTTCAGAATTTGATGCTCTTTCGAATGAAATAGGCCTCCATCAATGCGACAAACTTTTCTGTAAACGTGGTTTTTTACTGGAAATCACTACTTGAGTGTGCTTAGGACGTCTTGCTTATCGAATGACGTAAACTATAGCGTTCTGGTTGCTTCTGCTCGAACGTTATCTCCGAAACCATAACCGTAATATTTGGAAATGAATAAACAGAAGTTAACTCTTTGACGAGCGATGGGGCAAATACATCCTATTTTTTTGCTTTTGATCACAGAATTATAATAAGCTAGGAACAAGAGCTACTGTTGAAAAGAAAGATAATGGTATATTATGAAGATTCATTCCGCAGCATTTATTCTTTTTTCCTCAGTTTTATTGGACCTTCTATGTATATTTATGTTCATAGGTACAAATGGTCAGCGCAAGCGTGCAGTAACTCCATCTTACAGATCTGATCACCCCATATGATAGTACAGACCAAAGCCTACCTGAGCTTACCACCGGCATTGTTAGAACTTGGTCAGCTAAAAGTCGCCCGTCAAAGGGTTAAAGCAAAAAGGTCGAGCAACTGGATACTAGCAGCACAGTAATGTTACTTCTGTGCCATCATCCTTTTTAAATTAAGAGAATTTTTTGAATAACTTTTGATAGAAAACAGATAAAGATCTGCAGATTCTGCCAAACGATATGGAAGGCTTAGGCGCATTTTTTATCTAGAATAAATTTAAAATTTGTTTTCATAGTTATCTGTCGGAAGAGTAGGAATATATTATTTTTTCCGTGAGATAAGTAGCCCAAAGTCTTTCAAAATAGAATTCAATCAAGGTTATGATTTGCAACAGTTCACACATGCCACTGAAAATTCGTACCTCAATCAAAGTCGATTCAAAACATTTTGAAAGTTTAATAAATTCTATAAAAGGAAGAGTATAGAATATGTAGAATAATATCATACCTTGCTATTGTAAACGATTCATCAGTTCTATAAACAAATCTTAGTATTAAACCAATATAAAACAGAACATACGCGGGTAATATAATAATCAAATTTGATAGATGATTGGTTAAAGAAAAATAATTCTTCACTTTTTCCAAATAATTTCTATTATCTTGAATTACAAACTAAAAATATGTTTTTTTTTCAAGTAATAGTTTATTTCAA